AGAGAGAGAGAGAGAGAGAGAGAGAGAGAGAGAGAGAGAGAGAGAGAGAGAGAGAGAGCAGGGAAGTCTCCAACCTCGCGGCTGGACTCCTGGTACTTCCATCGATTGGGACGCTGGGCCCGGATCCCAGCACGTGTTGCTCCCCACGAATAGACTGGAGCATTTGTCCCAAAAAAAAACAAAACAAAAAAAAACGGATGAGCAAAATCGAATGTATCTACCGCTAGAACATGGAAATATACACTGTGCACAATCACGCAGCACACCAGACAAGTGCAGCGTGCACTGCGCACCCAGATGCGCGGCGCGCGCCGGTGCGCGCGCACCTCGGGTCCTCGCAGAGCACCGTGCAGCGCACAGCGCCAGTGCGCCACAAGTATGATAATTCTATATGGGATGCTGGGCCGGTTCCGGTCTATTCGTGGGGAGCAGCACGTACTGGAACCGGGCCCAACGTCCCATATAGAATTATACAAGTCATTTGAAATACCAGGGCCATTACCTGGCTTCGGCTAAGAACAATTTGAGAACAATTAAACGAGTTCAAGAAAATTAAGGAAGACTTGGATAACTGTTGACCTATTGCTAGGCTACTCAAGCAGCAGTTATGAGGTCAAAAGGGAGAGGCACATAAGTCCTTTGACTGCTCAGAACCCTGGAATCCCTAACAAAACCTTCAAAAGTGTCTTATTCCCTGCCGAGCTCTCCCAGGCCTCATGCCCCCACCCTGCTAGGTTACAGGGCAACACGACTCACCCTAACTCCGGTCAGTGTCGTCTTGACACCAACCCTTGGTTTTCCCTTGGAATGCCTGCCCCAAGGCATCCCCAGATCTCTCTACCAGGCCTCACGCTCCTCCTCTCAATAGGTTACAGGGCAACCCCCCAACACTGGCCAGCGTCGTTCTGGCATCGAAAAACCACAGATCCATGAATATAACAACATCAAAGAAGCCTAAAGTGGGTTGCAAGAAGTACCCAGTCTCAAAGCATTCTCAAGGCCGCCAAAAGCAACTGAGAACAACAAAATTGTATGCGAAAATTAAGAACGAATTAGGATAATTTGGAAGCCGATATAATCAAAACCACGTCACCCCAGTGCTATTCAACCGACCTGCCTACAACAACCCACCTATCCTAGATACCAAGCTCTATCAGGCCTCACGCCCCCAACCGCCGGGTTACAGGGCGGCATGACCCACCCCAGCTCCGACCCGCATCGTCTTRGTAGCAGCTCGCTGTTAGCCACYGGACTGCCTTCCACCCTCGACAGTTCCCTAGATCTCTCTACCAGGCCTTTTTTTTTTTCATAACTCAGGTTACACCCTGTCTCTTATACACATCTAGATGTGTATAAGAGACAGCCTGAGGAGAGGCTCCATCTATTGGTGGGGAGCATCACCTGCTGGAAATCGGGTCCAGCGTCCCATTACACTTGAAAGACATGCTTTGGAATATCCTGGCTATGTGCGCGCAGTCGTGGTTCCTGCCAGCATTGATTGCCCTGCCAAATCAGGGGATTGACTGAGCAGGCTTATGTGCAAAGCCAGAGCATCTGTGAGTTGTCTGCCAGTCGAGCCGTGTGTACTTGGAGAACTGATGCTGCCGTTGTATCTCTTCACCCTCCCATGGGAGGGCGCCAGATTGGGACTTTAAAGACTGCTACTGTCTCCAGCTATCTGCCCCTACACCCGTCTGATTACCCCACTGCCGGCTGTTCCCGTGGAGAAGAGGAAGGCTGAGACTGTCCCCGGCTGCTTGCTCTCCCTCCCGCCTACTGACTGGGGCTGATCCCATCTGCTTGCTCCCCCTCCCGCCTGCTGACTGCTTCACCTTGCATCCGGCCCCTTCTTACCTGTCTAGCACTCATCCTCCATACCACTGCTTTTCGACCAGGCAGTTAGAGGGGGGGGGGGAAAGTTCGGGGAAGTCCTCGGAAGGTTTCAGGGGGATAGCCTCATCCACCTTAGTCCAGTCTTTGAATGTAAGACAGTAATCCCTTACGAGTTCTCTACTCCCTTGGTCTGGCCCCGGTGCCGGGGGTGCCCCTTTCCATTCAACCTTCCCTATCCTCCCCGCATCAGGTCCCCCGAGCCAGTTTTTACTGAATTCCTTAATTTTAAGCAGAATATCTTGTGTTCTGTCCAGACTTCTGATTCGGGTTTTTACCCCTTCCCACACCGCGGTGATTTCTGTTTGAACCTGGCGCTGTATGCTTTCCGTAAAATCAGGCCCTTCCAATCTGGCACCCTCCAGTTCGAAGGTGCAACGCCGTCGCCAGAGCGCCCAGAGTACCGCCCTCCGCCCTACTTTGAGCATGTTGGCGGTAAAGTCATCTAGCTGGTCTGAGTGGTCTTCCGGCCAGTTTTCGAACAGGATTGCCTGCCAGCCCCAGGGCCACGGGGCTGATGTTTCCAGCTGCCCCC